AGGTCCATCACTCCAGGGAGAGGGGCAGAGAAGGTACAAAGGAGTAAACTTGAAACTTCAAACTTGAAATCAAATTTTTACTTTAGGAAAAATGATATACAAGAGATCAAGGCTTACATTTGTAAGATTCAGTCTTTGTTAGGAGAAATGAAATAATTTGTTGGGTCCCCCAAAACCATGAATTGGAGAACTGATTAGAGGGTTTGTATTGTGAACTGTAGGTAAGGGGGGATATGGGATAAGATATCAGAGTGTTGGGAGAGGTCGGTGGGGGAGAAAAATTCCCAGATATATTGGGAATCTGAGGTCAGAAGACTCACATATTCCATTTCTGTCCTGGACATCTGCGGAGAGAGATGGCAGCAGCCTCATCAGATAATTAGAATGAACATAGAACAGCCATGTCAGGACAGAGGGACATGGATGGTATATAGGCAAATAGAACCTGAGATGGCCATAGAATGGGCACTGACGTGCTGCCTGGGTCCCCTTCTGGAACCGACACTTGCTCCCCCAGCCACTGTGAGTGCTGGCAGCTGAACCGTTTTCCAGGCTGTGCCCCTAGCCAAAGAAGGCCTCCTAGCTCAAGGTCATGTGAACTCTCAGGGCAGCCCACGTCCTGTGACTGTGCATTGCAGGGGGACACAGAGGTCCACCCTCCTTGCCTCACCTGAACGACAGCTCCAGAGCAATTTGTATAATCACTTTCTTCACAATTGCACGGCAGTTCTAACTTCTCCACCTGGCTAGCTCCCTTTACTTCCCTACAGGTATTTCCAGAGAACATTTGCCAATAAATGTTTTATAGGTTAAATCTAAAAGTCTGTTTCCTGGGGGACATGAGCTATGACAGGTCTTCTTGATCTCCCTAGCTCTGGAGCTGGGGGTTGAAGTTTGAAGGAAACCTTAGATGAGTTCTCCTGACCTGACATAGATGAGAATTGTTGGCTGGCAGGCTGTCTGTGGGCTGTGTGGTATGCTGAGAGGTAAGGCTTTGAGTAGATGTCACAAAGGCAAGGATGGACAATGTGGCTGAATTTCAGAGGATCAGTTAGAGCCAAGGTTGAGTCAGCATTGGTGGGGAGAGGTGGATGGCCACATGCCAACCATGCCTGACTATGTTAGAAGACCAGGCAAAAGTGACCTCATATATGAATCCTTCAGCACATCAGAAAGGCTAAAGATCAAATCCCAATGGTACAGCTGGATAAAACAACTCAGGGAGGCCAGTGAGGACCAGAGGCTGGCTATCACATCAGATGTCTCACCCCTGAATGCAGGTGAATACTAAGTCCACTTGTCCACCCCCACCACCCTCCCTACCACCAGAGAGAGGGAGAAGAAAGACAGCATGTTGACCCTGAAGAGATCTGTATTATACAGGAGGCGGCTGAATTGCCATGAAAGGAACAAAATTAAGCATCTCTCCACCATATGTGGAAATAGGTACAAAAATATGCAAGTGAAAAGAAGGAGAAAAGACAAAAACACAAACCACTTGGGGCAACAATCATATATGTGATATATATTTATAGACATCACTTTCTTAACACTAAGAACTGGGCCTTGTTCTAAGGGCTTTAAGTAGTTTCGTAGTTTATGGACTTTTTAAGTGAAATTAGCCAAGCCGCCAGCTAGCTGATAGTGGATGTGAAATTCCACCCTGGTTACTGAAAAGGTATTTCCCCAGCAGGCAGCCAAGAACACCCGAATCTGAAGCACAGCTCCTATGTCCTGTCATTTTAAGAGTGAACAGAGAGGCCAAAGATGAACCACAACTGATCCCAAGGGAAGGTGCTAAAGTGAAGTGAGGTTCAAATCTCTGCTCTGACAGAAACAATGCTCTTGTTCTCAGCCTTTTAATCTTTCTGTGTTTGCATATAGTTTTCTCTTGTAATTCTCACAATAACCCCATGAGGGAGTCACTGCGATCATCCTAATTTTACAGAGGACATGGATACTTAATGAGGTCCCAGTCTGGGCCATGGCTGAGCAGGGATTCCAAGACTGACAGCTGGCTCCAGAGCCTCTCATACCACCTCTGCAACCCATTGCCTCCTGATATGCTCCTTGTGTGTACATTATAAATGGGATTCATGTCAGAGTGCATGGAATCTGAAGAGTCATTCTAGCCATGCTGGACACATAAGTATTGCCAAGTGCAGATAGTCACCCAGGTAAGTACAGATGTGGAGAGATTAGGACATATGGTGCTGATGGGTAAGGAATAGGGGTTAGTGATAAAGCCAGAATCACTCCCATTTGGCATATCATGTAATACATGTGGTAATTAGTTATGTGCCTAAGGCCTTCATTTAGAAAATCTGTATATAGTTACTTTCCAGGAGCCATCATCTGTGATCTGTATCATTGTATCCTTAATAGGACTTTCTGCAGCTTGTCACTGAGTTCCTTTCACATCATAGAAGAGGAGTGTCTTAGTAAGGAAGAGTGAAGGGACAGAGGCAAGTAAAACATCTTCATGGGCTGGTAACATTTGGACACTACCAACACTTGGCAGTGGAGAAGTTAACATTCGCCAAATAACCAAGCTGTGATTATCAGGGTGGTTTTTTTCCCCCTTTACCCATTTTTTTTTTCCTTAACAAAGTTACCACCAATTGCTGGGTATGATATTAGTGGGATGCTAATAGCATACATTTCAAACACAGGGCAACAGAATTTAAAGGTTTTAATGCCACACAGAAAATTGATTTAAGAATACTTAAGAACTGCTCATTTTAACTTTCCTCCCAGTAGAATCTATTTGTATCCCTGGTTTTAGCTTTGCAGACTCGGAGGGGGTGGTGAAAGATGAACGGGCAGTGCTCAGCCACAAGGGGAGAAAAACGTCATCCAGCCCCCAGAATAGCAACAGCAATAAATATGGTCATGGAGCTCTTCTGCTGAGGTTGAAACAACAGACAGGATCACATTTGTGGCACCCAGCAGGTCTCCTGGCTACAGAGGCTGGCTCAAGGGTTTGGAGGAAACTCGTACAAAAGTTGACACTGACGGAGAGGACATGCTTGACTTCAGAGCTGTGATTTTGCGTGCAGAGCTAGGGGTGCTCGGCAACTTCTGGCCACAGGGGAGCATGTCCTAAATCAGCTTTTGGGACAGCTGGCTCGGGGCTCAGGAGAGCTGACCTGAGAACTTCCCTGCATGTCTGCCTGAGAACTTGCTGTTAGTTGCAGCTGCCACAGCCATGAAAGCATACTCGTAATGAGGAAGGTGAAAAAGAGGTTCTTTGTAGTCACCGGTTCTTTGAAGAGATTCCATCGATTTCAGCCACTTCAGGGTACTGAATCAATACCTTTGCTCCAGGAGGTCCTGGATAAAGGGGCATCTTTCTCCCTTCAAAACTCCTTGTCTCCCCTGCAGACCAAGTCACTGGACTCTTGCCATTTTTGGGACTCCCAGGGCTTCATCTTCTGTCCCATTTCCTGTATGTTTCAATTTAATCTAAGATATGGCCATGTCTCTGGGTGGTTGTGGTTTTACCATCTTTGCATTCTTTTGCCACTTGGAATTAGCAGGACTAGGCTTTCATGTTTGCCTAACTTGCACATAGTAGCAGTCGCTCGGGATGAAAAGTTTTTAAGACATTATACATCCCTGACTTTCCCCCTGCATTTCGAAAATCAAAACATCAACTGAATTTGATCAGTTTCCCTTTTCCTGTTAAACATCCCTACTCTAAAAGAATAGAACTTCTTATAAAGCCAATGTTCTTCTCTCCATGATCTTTGTGGATCAAGGTTCTCTTCAACCAGTTCCTAATGTCATGCAGGAAGTCACTAGAAACAGGTTCATGGTGGCTACATGTCACTTATTTTTCTCCTGAAGCTTTAACAGACACAGATCCAATTCCACACTTTTATTTGTTTCAGTTACATGCTTAGGATTGAAATTAACCTTTATCTATGAACCACAACATTGCTTTTATTTGAAAAATGGAGTATGTAAAATTTTTTAAAATGTTGCTTTAGACTTTTTTAGTATTTTTTTGGTATCTCACTATAAAAGTTAGCACTCCATTCTATTGTCACTATTAACTTTTTTTAGGATCTTATTAAGACTAATAGATAAAGGAAGTAGGTTTTATAGCATTAGCTCTCATGTTTGTTTTCCAAACATTCCTGGTAACTTTGGGTAGTTAAGAAAAAATCATGCCAGTGGGTTGAAGTTGGTACCAAAGGAACATAGATGACTCTTTGGTGCCCATGACCTGCTGCTGCCAGAACCTTATCTTGTCCTATTCATATATTTACAAAGCAAAATCTTCCTTAGAACAACCCTTGTGACATTAGCATTTTCTTTCTTTAAAACTTATGTCTTTGAGATTTTATGCCATTTTTCTCATGTGGCCAGAGATAATGCAGGTATAAATTAACTTCTCTGCTGATTATTTACTGACTACAGTAACACAAAAGCAAGGATATTGGAAAAAATAAATTGCAGTGCATACTTAAATATTCTAATTTGAATTACAAAGATAAGTACCAAATACTCTTCAATCCATGGAAAGATTCCTTTAAAGATAAAAAGAAAAGACTACCCAAATCATTTATTGGGAAATAGGAAGAAAAAGTCACCTTCCACTGTGAGGATGGCATTCTGTGGTTATAACAAAGGATGAATTGCATACAAGCACACTTCAATTAGTAAGAAAGCACTTGAATTAGTAAGAAAACACTTCACTTTATGAAATATAACTAATAAGAAGCTGCAATTTTAGACCTAAACATTAAGTATCTTCTATGACATATGTTTTTTCCAAGATTGTATGTAAAAATCCTAGAGGCTTTATAGTTGCAATCATTTATAAATAGGCTCTTCATTAGTGTTACATTAATGAAAGAAACCTTAGTGATATTATTCAAATACCAGTAGAGCACACTGGGAAGGGTCTCTTATTTTTCTCCTTGACTTAGCTTACCTTCATATTCTAAGTGATATTTGCATACTATTAACATAATCACCACATGTTCTTTCAGTGATCTATTCCAGTGGGAATGACATGAAGTTCAGAAATGAATTTGAACCTAGCCGTGAGTACTACCTAAGTATTTTATCATTTGTTATTTCTTTTATTAGAAATATTTGATTTCTGCATAATACTGATGATTTCACATGTGTTTTTGAAGTATAAGTGGCTAAAATTCACATTACATCATTAGAATTGCCAAAATAAAGTGCCAAAGTATAGCCACTTTGTCAGCCAAGCCCCTTTCACTATAGGACAAGTTATATTAGTAGTTACTATTTACCCAGAGTATTAAAAAACACTACTGATTTGTACTGTTCTATCATTGTCTTTTATAATTGTTACATACCTTGTGTGAAACTTTGTATAAAGTACTTAACATTTAAAAAATCATGATTAATCTCAATATGGTTGACCCTTACACAACGCTGGTGTGACCTTCATAGGTCTACTTATACTTGGATTTCTTTTTTCCATACAGTTGGCCTTTGCATCTACGGATTCAACCAATGGAGAATGGCAAATAATATTTTCAATCTGTAGTTGAAAAAATACAGATGTGGAGGACCAACTGTATGCATTGCTCTACAGTTTTATATAGGGGACTGACTTGAGCATTCATGAATTTTGGTGTCGGGGGTGGGGCAGGCATGTTTTGGAATAAATTCCACATGGACACTGAGGGACAACAGCCCAGATCTGTGCCCCAGTGAGTGGGAGCTGTGGGATGTAGTGAAAGGTGCATAGAATTTGGAGCTGGAAGCCTGGTGGTTTGGTTCCCTCTCTACTGATTATTAGGGTAGCTGGCTTCATATCTCTGTTCTGATTCCTTATCTCACAAAGGGGATTATTGGGAAAATCAAATGAGTACTGCTTTTAGTAAGAAACTAGGGAATATCATTAGGGAAATGTTGGTACAAATTTGTAATAAGTGTTGGTTTTAGTTCCTCTCCACTCTGTTCCTCCCAGCCCTCCCCCCCTCCCCACAAGTTCTAAAAAATTTTGGGTAGAAAATTCCTGAAGTAAAACAATTAGTGACTTGAGGAATAGGTAGAATTTGCACATGACTAGTGAAATGACAGCAGATGGCTCTGTGGTTGTTCCTCACTGACTGAGGCTGGCTCTTGCAGTGGTGAGAACATGGTCTCTAAATCAGTCCTCTGGGGTTAAGTCCCAGTTTAAACTCACATAACAATGTGAGTTTGGGAAATTTCCTGACCTTTCTGTTTCTCAATATCCTCATTTATAAAATAGAGATATTTTTCCCTGCCTTAAAGAGATTTTGCAAGTGTTAAATACAATGTACTTATAATATCCTCAAAATAGTTCAGGGCACACACTAAACACTCCCAAAATATGAACAATCATGTTGTGCAAGTGCATCTTTGAATTGTTTATTGGCCCATATCCACATAGTCACTCTGAAATGTACACCATTCCCCACAGCAGAGATGAATGAGAGAGGGTGGACAATGTGTCAAATCCTCTTCACTAGAACATCGTGAACTCTCTACTAAAAAAATAAAGAATTTAGTGCATTATTAACATTGCAGTCATTCTTTAAGAAACTAGAATACTAATGAAATTATTGTAAGTCTATGAAGCCTCCTGAATTAACAAGTGTGCTTGGTATTATGTATGATTATTTGCTCTGGGATGGAAGAAAGACCAGAGGAAACATTTTAGAGTCTCAAAAAGCAAGTCTGGGCTACTCTAAGGTCAAGGAGGCTTTTGCTTAGAAGCCCACAGGGGGAAATATATATTTTTTGAGGGAAAAGTGGAGGAGTCTTGGCATCTTGAGTCTGTATGCTGGTGCCTTGACACAGTGGGGTTTTACCAGACTGTTTTATGAAAATGGTTCCAAATTATTTAATCTTTCCTTACAGATACCATAAATCAGCCTTTGACTTTCATATACTATTCTGCTCTACAAATTCTACAGGTAGGACTGAGGGCTAGGGGCTCACTAGGGGCTGAGACTTGGGATGATTGATCAATTATAAACTAAATTGGTAGTTCTCAAGCTTAATATGCATCAGTAAAACTGATGGATTTTTTCCCCATCAGTTTAAAAAGCTGGAGAGCTTTTTAAAACACCGATTGCTGGGCTCCACATCCACATTTTCTGATTCAGTTGCTATAGTTTGTTAGGGGACCACACTTTGAAAACCACTGTGATAAATCAAATACAGGAGGGAAGTTGATCAGAGCTCTGGTAAACTAGCTAGGACCATCACAATTCTTTCAGCAAATCAGTTAACTCAAATGAGCCATGTTTTACCTCATTAATTTAGATAATACTTAGAGTTCTGTAGATGTTTGAGAATATCAGAGAGTAAGAATTCTTCATATTTAAGAGTTCTTCATATTTGAGATAAAAATTCTAAACAATAATTTCTAATTAGCCCCCCCTTTTTTTGTTATACATAAGTATACAAATTACATATCCTTTCAATTCCCATGGGTCAGATGACTTGCTTGGGTCAGGACAGAGCAGGCACAGTAGCTTCTGGGTGCTTAGTGTTGATGTTGCTACTCTCAGGTGAAAGTGGAAAAGATTCTTTTTCTAATTTTGGAAAATTTCATTTTGAACTTGATAGCTTAATTAGTTAAATACATTGTTTAGAGACTAGAAACATATCTGTTTTCTAATTTGTCAAGAAAGAAAATAGCAGAGGATTGATTTTTTCTTTAAAAATAGAGACCTCTGCTGGTCATTCATGAAAGTACTTTAAAATACAGACACCTAGAGTATTCCAATTTGTCAAAAGGTTACAACATCTGATTTATTCTAAATATATTTAAAAATTTATATATATATATAAATTAGGATTTATATAGATTTATAAATTAGGAGATATATATATCCTAATCCCTGTAAGAATAGATAAGAAGATCAGCAATAGGGCTTTAGGAATTTACATAGGGTAACACACACACACACACACACACACACACACACAATTCAGCCATAACAGTTCTTTTTTTTTTTTAAGATTTTATTTATTTATTTTTAGAGAGGGAAGGGAGGGAGACAGAGAGAGAGAAACACCAATGTGCGGTTGCTGGGGGTCATGGCCTGGCCTGCAACCCAGGCATGTACCCTGACTGGGAATTGAACCTGCGACACTTTGGTTCACAGGCCGAGCTCAATCCACTGAGCTACACCAGCCAGGGCCAGCCATAACAGTTCTACATTATAATTTAAAATTTGATTGAGGCATAAGAAATAAATAAAAGCAAGTAAATTCTCATCTAGTTTAGGGAATTTTCACAAACTGGATCTCTCTGTGTAGCCAATATGTCTGATAGATTTTTTATTGTAATTTTATAGGTAAGACTCAAGCTCAGAGAGGTTATGTGATCAATCAATTCCATTTTAAATTCATTCACATAGAAATAAAGAATTTTAATAAATGTTAATATAATAGACAGTCAATTTATAGAGCTGTAATCCTCAACCCAGATTTGTAAAAACAAAATTTTGTCAAATGAAGATACCTGTACACATAGAATTCCTACAGCAATAGACTAAAAAAGCTATAATTTATTATTATTGTTGTTTGTTGTTGTTATTTGCTGTTGCTGTTTTTGTTGGTGGTGATCTACTCTTTTTAGTAAATTAATAGGTACCAAGGTTAATCATTAATTTAAAAATTCAATATAAACTGGCAGATTATCTGTGTCAAAGTTTTTACCTTTCAAAAATCTTTATTATATTTGTTTCCATTACCATTTAGTCCCCTTATACCCTACCCCCCGGAAACACCACACTGTTGTCTGTGTCCATGAGTCCTTTTTCTTTTTCACTCAATCCCTCTACCCACTAACCTCCTCCCCCACTAGCTTTCATCTGTTCTCCATCAATGAGTCTTAGTTTTGCTTGTTAGTTCAGTTTGTTCATTAGATTCCACATATGAATGAAATCATAAGGTATTTGTCTTTCTCTGATTGGCTTTTTTCACTTAGCATAATGTTCTCTAGGTCCATCCATGCTGTTTCAAACGGTAAAACTTCTTTTTTCCAGCTGAGTAGATTTCCATTGTATAAATGTCCCATAGTTATTTTATCCACTCATCTACTGATACACATTTGGGATTCTTCCATATACTGGTGATTGTAAATAACGCTGCACTGAATGCAAGAATGCTTATGTTCTTTTGAATGAGTTTTGGGTTCCTTTGGATATATTCCCAGAAGTGGGATTGCTGGGTCAAAAGGCAGATCCAATTTTAATGTTTTGAAGTGTCTCAATCCTGCTTTCCACAGTGGCTGCAGCAGTCTGCATCCCCACCACTAGTGCAAAAGTGTTTTTTCTCCACATCCTTGTTAGCACTTGTTGTTTGTTGATTTATTGATGACGGTCATTCTGACAGGTATGAGGTGATACCTCATTGTGGTTTTAATTTGCATATTTTTGATGATTAGTGATGTTGAACATCTTTTTGTATGTTTACTGGCCATCTGTATGTCCTCCTTGGAGAAGTGTCTATTCAGGTCCTTTGCACATTTTTTAATTGGGTTGTTTGTATGTGTGTGTGTGTGTTGAGTTTTGTAAGTTCTTTATAAATTTTGTATATTAGCCCCTTGTATCAGATGTATCGGCAAATAGGTTCTCACATTCTGTGGGTTGTCTTTTTATTTTGTTAATGTTTTCCTTTGCTGTGCAAAATTTTTTTATCTTGATGTAGTCCCATTTGTTAATTAATTAATTTATTTTTGTTTACTTCCCTGGGGAGATATATCTGATAAAAAAATTTCTACAGGCAATGTCCCAGACTTTACTGCCTATGTTTTCTTGTAGGATTTTTATGGTTTCAGGTCTAACATTTAAGTCTTTCATCCATTTTGACTTCATTCTTGTATGTGCTGTAAGAAGGTGATCTAGTTTCATTTTCCTGCACATATCTGTCCAATTTTCTTAACGTCTTTTATTGAAGTGACCTACTCTTTTTCTTCATTAATTAATAAGGAGTTTTTGAGCATCTTTTATGTACCAGGCACTAACCTGGATTCCTGGAAATACTAAAATGAATAATATTAGGCCTTGACCTTAAGCAGCTCTGAATCTAATGCACAAGACAGACATATAAACAGTAGTTTTAGTTTTATACTATAGTTTGTGTTTTAACAGAAGTGTACATACCTATATGGACTGATTTTCAAGAAGGTGGCTATATTTTCCCCAAAGTCGGCCTCATACTGTGTAAAGATGGAAACTCCACAAATTTCTCTCTTTTGTTATTAAAGGTAGCATAATGTAGTAAAAAACAATACTTGACTAGTAGTCAGAAAAGTCATGTTTGAGATACAGCTCTTCCACTTAGTAGCTTTAGGATTTTGGACCAATCTCTCAGTCATGAAACCTTATTTTCCTCAATTATAAATTAGGGATGGCAGCTAGCCCAGGCTATCATGAAGACCAAATGAGACTGTAAGAGAGCGATCTGTTATCTTTATAAAAAGTTCTACATTATACTTTGTTTATAGGGTATTGTAAATATTTAACACCAATGATAATCAATTCATTCAGTGTTTTTCAGTTTATGGTTTTGCTCCTAGGAAGATTTGCAAGAGAAAGTGCTGTGTTTGACAGTGACCAGATAGACATGTGCATAGCTACTTTCTTCCTAAGTACAGTGAAGAGGATGAAAACATTGTGAGGGTAGTGGGTGTTTGAGTAATGGGGAAGGAAGCAGAATTAAGCTGGTTGGGACATTAAAATGTACCAAAAGCAGTTTAATATACAAACTTATTCAAATCATTCACTCAACTCACTCACTCACTCACAAATTTACCCAGAGTTCTCCTGATCCTCATAATCATCATCAAAATGATTTACTAAACACTAAATAAAATTCATACATTCCATGGTGTGCAGGTAAATGTTTAACAACCAACTCTGGGAAAAACACAAATATATGATAAATAACACTGGCCAATTTCTGTTGTGTAAATTCTCCTACCATAGCCAATTTCAGGCTATTAACATGACATCAGTGAACAGGGAGTTAGGAAGAAATGCACAGCAGCATGTCTTTACATCATATGAATATAATAGACATTAAAAGTCTCAAGTACAGATAATAAACACAGCAAAATGATCAGGAAGTGATGAGTTTTAAGTATTTGCTAGCTCTATTTTAAAATTATTTAAATGGAATTCAATTTTGTTTAATTGTTAATATTAGCTGTGTTGAACATCTAGCTTGCAAAATTCCTGAAAATTAGTTCTCTTCAGTCTGTGGTGATGAGCCAGTGGTGGCCCAATACTAGATATCTTGGTAACTGTACCAGTATGATACTAGTTATAGTAACTAGTTATGGGACCTAACTTCTGGGAAGACACTTTATTAGGATTCTTTCTCTATAGTCCTATCATAAGCTCTTAGATATCCACCCTGTGTTGTAATCTCATCTCTCTCCTTCCATATTTGAGTTCTCTGAGACCAGTGACTGTGACTTTTAACTCCACATCTTCTGTTTCTAGGATTGTTCCTGGAACAGGTAAAGCTTAACAAGGGCACATTGAAGAAGTAAACTGACCTGGATCTGGCTCCTGTTCTCCTAATGTCATGGACAAGGACTCACAGCAACAGAATACACACACAATTTGAATAAATGTGTGAATGGGTAATAAGGTTTTTCTATTACCTACAAGTGGATTTAGTGGGATGGAAAATAGTAGGATTATGGATCAATGCAAACATGTTCTTTTTCTGCCCTGTTGTGACTTAATACTGAAATGCAACCATGTTGCCTGGCCTCATCTGTTTACTGATATTCTTTTAATGTTCAAATCTATAAGAAGTAAAAGCAGCACATATTCACTATAGAAAAATTACAGTATGGAGAAGTACAAAGAAATAAAAGCCACCAATATTTATAAGATTGATATCTCAGTGAAGATAGGTTAAGATAATAACACTTGGAAAACACCAAATAACTGGCCTAAATGAGGTGCTTTATTTCTTCTTCAAGTAAAAATTTGGAATTGTACACTCAAGTGGATGTGGTGGCTCTGCTTCCCAAAGTCCCTGTGTGTTACATGCCATTGAATCAGCTCTGACTCCCACTGACTGTATGAGTGCATGATGTCCAAAATGTCCTGTCCGCAGGTGCTTAATTTCCCTTCAGCTCAGGGACTTGTCCATCCTGAGGGTCCCTGTCAGCATATGCTATCCTGAAAGCAGGATGGAGTATGGGATGAAGAAGAGACATAGGGCCAACTGTCTCTTTAAGGAGGCTTTGTAGAACTTGCCCTGTGGCATGTGCATTACATCCCATTTGCTAGAACACAGTCACAGGGAAATGCAGTCTTTATTCTCAGCAGCCATGTGCTTAGCTAAAATTTCTGTTATCATTGAAGAAGGGGAAAATGGATTTTTAGGGCCACCAATTTACTGCAGTTGTTTCTGAGTTAAAATGCAAACATAGGAATTGGAAGGTTGAAAGTTATAACCATTTTCAAGGATTTTGATGCATATTGATAAATTTCCCTTCAGAAGCTCTGTACACATTGACACTCCCAAGGGTATATATGATTGCTTTACATTAAACACTAACACAGGAATCAGTCAGTTCACTCAATGTTTACTATATAGCTTTGCTTGGGGGGAAGATGTGGTAGAGAAAGTGCTCAGTGTTTGACAGACCTGGGCTTTATTGTCAGGATTCTTTCAGCTGCAAGTGACAGACAGCTTACTGAGGATGTTGAGTTTATTCAGATATTGAAGTATAGTATATGTTGGAATCTGAAGCTGGAGAATTAAAAGTAAAGTTCTTCTGAAGAGGAATGGAGAGGGGATTATATATATATATAATATGTAACTACTTAGTTACAAAATTTTGAGTCCTAAACAGAGAGGAGCAAGTGTAATACCACATTCTCTTAATTGGTTGGAGGGGCTTTCCACGTATGTTTTCATCAACTGCCACATGGCAGGCAATGTCCAAAGTGCTTTATGTATACTGTCTCATTCAATTCCCAGGGCCATCACATATTTCTATATATCCATAGTTCACACATGATGAAGTGGAGGCTCAGGAGAGGTCATTGGGGGTGGAGCTAGAATTTGAATACCACTCTGTCTGATTTCAAAGTTTTGCTTTTCCCTTTCCATTATGAAGCATGAACTGATGAAAAACAAATTTGGCAGGAATCACTTTTGCTGTAGCATTTGAATTAACTTAAAAGTGTGAAGTATTATAAAGGGGAAGAAGGACCTTATGAGATTTGTATCTTACAAGTGGCCTCTTTTTGACTTGAGTTGGATAATTGCCTCTCTTTTCACATAATATTTGTGTTCACTGAGCTAAGACATATGGGTATTATCCCTGCTGTGGTTAGCTATTTATTTTGTTGTCTCTGCTACCAGACTGATATCTTGGGTGCCAGGTATCAGGTCTTACACATCTTTGCATTTTTAGGGTCCAGCATAATGCTTAGAACATAACAGGTACTCAATAAATATTTGCTGAATGCATTATGCAAGCATTCATGGTCATATTAACACATATTTACTAAAACAGAAATTTTATTTACTAAGACTCTTATTTTAAGAGGCATACAATAATAACTAGACTAGTATAAAATTATGATTCTAATCATGGTTATAAAGATAATGTTTATAAGGCAACTTAACTTGTGAATAATACTGTGTGCCTGCAACATGCCAGGCTGTTTTAAGTGTTTAACACTGTATTTTGTTACTTAATTGTCACACAACCTTACTAGGGTAATAAATTTTCCTTTCCAAAAAAAGGGGTGGGGGCAGAATTGAAAAAACAGGACATGAATCCAGGTAGATCTGTTCTAAAATTTCTGTTTAACAACTAGGCTATTTTACCTCACCATTGTGTATCAGTTGCTTATGAGAATAATAATAACTACAGTTACTTTGCATGACTCCATAGTAGCGTCTTCTAATAACACATAAATCCTTATCCTGTTGCTTTGTCTGGCAATTGGAACTTTTCCATCAAAAGCACCTACTCTCCCAGAAGAACCCAAGCAATATTGGAAAATCGCTATTTTATACCTCAGCAACCTCTACTCAACCTCCAGAGCCAACGAGTAATTTGCAGTCAACATTATTCATTACTCACTTTAATAATCAGGGAATTTTAGGTCATTTCTCCTAAAAAACGTTCACTTGTACCTCTCCGGTAACTTCCGTACTCCAGAGGCTTTCTGGGGAATGGACACCTCCAAATATTCACAGTCGCTGCCACGCATTTTCTGGCTGCAGAAACTACAGTTCCCAGTGGTCCTTTCGTCTGCGCGAACTCACTTTCCCAGCTCCAGGAAGCTAGTGGGGGGAGGGAAACTATCGATGCTTTGCGGGGCAGTGGGGGTGGGAGAATAATTGGGTGCACCTTCAAATGGCTCGGATGCTGGACGAGCAGAGAGGGAGCACGCCCTTGGTGGCGGAAGGGAAGTTGGATGCTGAGGTTAAGCTCATTCTGTACCACTGGACGCATTCCTTCAGCTCCCAAAAGGTAATGGCTTCCGCTGGGAGGCGGGTGGTGAGGATCGGTTTTCAGCACCCGGACAGCTCCCTATGGGCCTCACCCGGCTGCTGACCCAGCTAGAAACAGGCCTCCAACTCCCTAACCTTGCCTCCCTCCAGGGCAGGGATGCACCTTAGACGGGAGCAAAGAGAATCAGCCTGAGATGGAAAGGATAGGACCCAGGCACCGCCATTCCTGAAATAAGACCAAAAGCTTCACTTTCTGGTGTTTGCTCTGGAGGCCTTGTCCCTTTGGGTTTGCAGAGTGAGGCAGAGGGAAACGCCGTCAAACAGCCTAATGATCTGAAGTTCCTGGTTTTATTTCATTTTGTTCCTATCCACTCATTTTTACAAGGCCTAGCATATCCGTATTTCAGAGTCTTGTCTGGGGAAGGATACAATTAGGTTTGGGGCACAAAATACTGGTGAGGGGGAGGGTGACTGTAAATTAATATAGCCAGAATCATTTTCATTACTTATCATTCTAATTTATAAGAACAAGATACTAGAACATATCTGAATTGTTAATTCTAGAATAGGAATACAGTCATCTGGGGCTTAACCACATGTACACATTCTGAGAAATGCATCATTAGGTGATTTTGTCAGTCTGTGAACATCATAGAGTGCACATGCACAGACCTGGATGGTGTAGGCTGTATGGTATAGCCTGTGGCTGCTAGGTTACAGGCCTGTACAGCATGTTACTGTACAAAACTACATGAGATTAAATCAAGCACAAGAGAAAATGATGCAATCAAGAGATGTATAAATGAAATATATGAGGCTGTTGCTGGTGGATCATGACATATTGTTTTCCAACAAATATACTCTAAAATAATGATAAAGAGTATAGTATATACATATACCAGTAACATAGTAATTTATTATTATTATTAGATATTATGCACTATACCTAATAGTATGTATGTAATTTTATACAACTGGCAATGCAGTAGGTTTGTTTATACCAGCATCGCCACAGACACCTGAGTGATGTGTTGTGCTATGATTTTAAGATGGCTACAACATCACTAAGCAATAGGAATTTTTCAGCTCCATTATAATCTTATGGTACTATTGTCATGTATGCAGTCTGTCTTTGGCCTAAAGGTAACTATGCTGTGCATGGCAGTAGTTAAAAAAAGGATGTTGAAAATATTAATAAGTTAGGGAAGCAGAGGTAAACTGCTTAGTGGTATCCAGACATGTGATGAATTAAAAACCTATGTATGCTGTGGTAACCAGTGTGAACTCTTCCAGGTGCGCTTGGTAATTGCTGAAAAGGCATTGAAGTGCGAGGAACATGACGTAAGTCTGCCCCTCAGTGAGCACAATGAGCCTTGGTTTATGCGTTTGAACTCAACTGGAGAAGTGCCTGTCCTTATCCACGGGGAAAACATTATTTGTGAGGCTACTCAGATCATTGATTATCTTGAACAGACTTTCCTGGATGGTAATGTTAAGGCTATTTGTGATTTCTTGGATTTACTTTTAACACAAGTCTATGTTTCCCTTCATCCCTCTTCCTTCCCTTCCTTCTTCCCTCCTTCCTTTTCTTCCCTTTACTTTCTTTCTTTTTGGTTTCATGATGGTGGTTTAGTGATAAAAACCTTTTCCATTTCCATAAGCACACAAAAATAAAATAGGTAAATAACAAGTTTTGTATAAACCAGTATGAACTCAATTTAAAAAAAAATCATGTAAACTACAAATTTTAATGCTTTAAATTTATTGGCAAAAACCCCCTGCAGGTGTGTGGCTTGTGGTGGTAATTTAGTTGCCTTGAAGTCAAATTTATAATACTGATTTTAAATGTACACTATGAAATCAGTTTCATGTTTTCTACCAAATGGTCCCACCTTAAAAACAATAAGAGGGAAACAGGAATACATTTTAGGCAAGGGAGAATAGAATGTTGGTATACTTTGAGTTCTTTGCCCCTGTTACTCCTGTATAGTCTGACTTTCATATCTTTTGTAAGGAATTATAGGGCTTAAATGATATAGTGCTTTTAATTAATAATCACTTATTGATAGCCTGTTTTATACCAGGCATTTTATAAGTTCTGTTCTATTCAGTCTTCAAAGAACCCACCTGACTGACACAAGTGCAATAGACTAGTTATTCCTATTTTGTACATAAGTTGTTGCCTAAGGTAATATTGCTATTTTATGGAAGGGTGGGGCTGGAATGCAAGTCTTTGAAATCCATACCTTCATGTTATACCAACTGTTTCCCATAGTCATTACCACATATACGTTGTGTATCTTGTTTCTCATGGCAACCCTTTGAGGTGAACTGTAGCTTTACTGATTTGCCCAAGATTACATAGCTGATCACTAGCAGGATTCAGAACAGAACACAGGGCTTCTAGCTTTCAGCTGCCAAGAAGTTTAGCCAAAAAAGTCTTTTCTTTTTTACTTCAAAGGAAAATATTTAGATATGGGACCTGAATGGGACAGGGACTCCAGGGAATTAGATGAGCAATGAGAAGTAGATGAGCTACTTCTGTTCTTAATCCAAATGTTTAGCTCTCTAGGATTCAGGCTGGAAGTTTTATTAGAGATGGCCATTGAGCTAAACCAAAGAATTTAATAAACTGCATTTTCCTTCACCATGACTTGTCATTCCTCTGAGTCTATATGCTTTGGATTATACTGAAAATGGTGGCTAATTGATTTAATACAATTTTCTCAACCTTAAGCTTTTTGGAAATGGATAAGTCTGTTAAATAATAATTTGTATTCTTGGGAAAAGTGATTATAATAATGTGCATAAGGCAAAAATAGGTGTTTAAGAAGCCTATTTTAAATAATCACAAATGTTGAAAAGCTACAGTAACTGGAAAATCATATTTACATCTTTTGTTAGTATTCCTTGAACTACTACTACTACTACTACTACTACTACTATTCTCTTCCTCCTTTTCACTTTCTCCTTACATTGTTTCTCCTCTAAGATATTCAATAATATGAAATATGTTACTTTATAACATAGTAATATTAATGATTATTAAGCTTTCTCATTTTCTTTGACTGTATAATAGCAAACTGAAACACATTCCGAATCCTGCTCTAACAAAGGAAGTACTAGGTTCTTATTACTATTTAGTGAATCAGAGGAGAAGCCATTTTGGGCTAAATGTTAAGATGAAAATATGGAAGTTAAGGACTTTAGTTCTGGTTGTACCAACAGCATAAGTAAACAATCAAGATTCTGGCTTTAGTCTGAAGCTGGCCCTAACTTACTACATGTTCTTGGTGACTTGACTTCTTTTGTTTTAGGTGATGCAGTTTTATCAACTACAGAAATAAAGCAAGTCCAATTGGTTCCTATTTTACTCATTCTTTTTTCCTTAGGAGAGTAGTCATTCAGTTGGATAGGGTTGAAAAAGACTAAGACTAAAGGATCTAAAACCCATGGTAGATGTAAAGACAGCAAGAGAACAGTTACATAAATGAAGCCTTGTCTAGTCTACAGAAGTTTATCCCTAAGTATTAAATAAAAAAACATAAAAGTGTTATCATAATTATTATTGAGATACTTTATATTTATCATTAGGAACTCATGGAGATTAGGAAAAAGGTCAGATAAGTGATAGACAAATATCCTAATAGTCAATGATGGGGAGAGAGGAGTTCTACCAATCCTTGTTATTTGGTGTTCTATTGACCAGCTACATTGGTATCACTGGGAGCTTGTTAGAAATGCAGAGACGTAGACTCTATTGGACATCTCTTGAATAAGAATCTGTATTTTGACAAGATCCCCAAGTGATTCAAATAGATTTAAATTTGAGAAACATCAGTGCAAATTAATGTACATTAAGTAATTGTTTAAGGTGAAAGCAGAACTATAAATAAGTATCTTTGATTGTGGCAGAGTTCTAGAATGGATTGTCATAATTTAAAGAAATATGAGGTTTGTCCAGAAAAAGCCTAGCCATTGTTAATGTAATGAGAACAGTTCACACAACATCCATGTAACCTAGAAGCCAAGGAGAGTGGACTGGAATATGCATATGTGAACAATGACAACTTCACTGTACTAGTCAGTGGGGGTGGTAGATGCCACTGAATAAGCATGTGTATTGTGTAGCTGTCATATTCAAAATGACTGTGTGAATAGAGCAAAGAACCTGCCTCAAATTTTGCATTAAGCTTGAACAGTCCTCTGCAGAAACTATTTGGATGATTCAGAAGGCCACAGCAATGGGCAACTGGTGACCGGCAGCTTCATCACAAAAGTGCACCCACTGTCGCATCATGGCTCATGCAGAGTTTTTTGGCAAAACATCCAATCACCCAGATGACTTAGCCCCCCTACAACCCTACAAATTTGGTGCCCTGTGACTTCTGGCTTTTCCAAAAACTAAAATCACCTTTGAAAGGGAAGCAATTTCAGACTGTTGATGAGATTCAGAAAAATATAACAGGGTAGCTGATGGTGACTGGGAGAACAGTGTGAGGTCCCAGGGTACCTACTTTGAAGGGGACTGAGGAGTCATTGTCCTATGTACAATGTTTCTTGTATCTTATATCTTCTTCAGTAAATGTCTCTATTTTTCATATTACATGGCTAGATACTTTCTGATCGGACCTTGTATATGTAAATTTTGAGCATCTCAGTTAAAAGAAACCAGCTTAAGTTTGCATTACTAGAGAATGACATTAACTAACACTTTTTAAAATATTAGCCTGTCATATGCCAGGCATGATTCTGATATAGTATATCTTGATTTAAGTAGAGCATTACAAGTACTTCATATGATACCTTTGTGGAATGAAGAAGCAAATACAGCTGGATGAAATGCGCATTTTCAGATGAACAAACCACCATACTGAAGAATACTCATTTTAGATTTCTTATATTAGGTTGCTCCTTTAGTTATAACATGATTATAACATATAACATAATATGTCATTTAACTTAACATATAACAATTTAATCTCACTTTATTTTAATTATTTTAATTGCTTGTAGACCAGTCTAAGCACTATGAGTTAGAGGCAGTGTCTGTCTCATTAACAACTGTATTCCCAGTGCCTCATATGGTGTATGTTCTTTAATAGAAACTTCATAAATACATATGAATGATTAAAGTGAATGAATTGTTGAAAATAAATGTCAGCCTGGACAGAGATCTCTACTAGTATGCTTATAGGCTTCTATTGTCTGAGAAGCCTAAGAATTCTATAAATGACTTGAATAATGACATAGAGAAAATACTATTACATTTAGTATTTTCATTTATAGATAACAGAAAAGTGAGGATAGTTAAAATGACTAGCTTATGAAATGTTTCTAATGGAACAATAACTGAGATAAAGTTTAATAATGATAAATATAGTATGTGAATTTTGTTTTTAAAGATCATTTCCATTAATGAAGAATGGGAGACCTGACTGGCTAGTAAGTTACCAGTAAAAGCCAATCATAAAACAAAAATGCTAGTGTGGTCTCATACTGTTTCAAAAGTGTAGGTTCTATCCAGAACATGGTGAATTGTAACCTGCTACATTCTTAACTGGTTGGAATAGGTAGTGTTTTGTCCAATTATGGATGAAACTCTGAAGAAGCTGGCAAATTAGAATGATAGTAAGTAAATGTATTTCATGAGGTATATAGTTGCCCATGGTTATAGTGGCAGAATTTAATCAAGTTTATCCATTCATCTAAAAAACAGAGTATAGTGAACTAGTATCCCCTTTGCTGTTACTATTTGCTATCCTGATTTGGTGTATCAGCTGGGGATTATAGTAAAAATGATGGCTTGCTGATCTGCAAACCTTTCTCAGCCTTTCTGGGTAGTCAGTTATTTCCTCACTTAAATCTTTATGGTATAAGTCCACTAAATAACTGCTAGTTTCAGGGGAGAAATATGATTCCCAAAACAATACTTCCCAAGTCTTGGCCAAAGAAAGTGAATATCTAAGTTGAGTGATGGCTTTTTTTTTTTCCCTTCTTAAAGTGGTTACATGGAAGGCTGGTGTAGACATCAGTGATGTTCCTGAGGTCAGAGCTTGAGTCAAAGGAAGAATTTAGAAGTACTCTGTTGTGGCTGATCAACCAAGGGCTGTCCAAGAGCAATCTCTTCATTCTTTCAATAGATGTTTATTGGGTATTAATTGGTACAAGGTCCCAATTTAAAAGACCCAAATCATTAAAACTTATTAATCTTCAAAAATAATTTCATTCTATAAACTTGAAGATAATGCAAAACCTGCTTGCAATACATGCATGTTCTATTATTACTACTCAGTTTTATAGACTTTTTTATACATATGAGAGTTTGTCCTATCTGGGCATGTAATGAAGAATAGTTATAGTAAAGTGAGCAATTTATTAATCTACATGAGGTGTGATAGTAAGCAAACTAGGAGAGCTCAGGAACAATGGATATGACAAGTGAATACACACACTAATAATATTGATTTTAAAATCTAGATATTT